CCCCGTTGAGAGATTGGAATGCAATCCCCAGGAAAGAGCAATCCCCAGTGGAGCAGAGGGGAGACATTCAGGGGTCTTGTAGACCTTGGATGTCTCAAAGAGAACCTGTCACCAAAAATCATCACATAGTGGACTTTGTCCCATATGTGATGAAAAAAAAGTAAAAAAAAAAAAAAAAAAGTTTTTTTTTGTAATCGTAAAAAATAAAAAAGTTACACCCAAGCACATACCAACCCCCCCAAAAAAAATATTGATGCCCCCCCACCACAAATTGTTACATATCGCCGCGCACGCCAGAATGAGAGCAATAATTCTACCACCAGACCTCCTCCGTAACGCTAAACTGGCTACCTATAAGGAGCTTTAAAAGGGTAGGCCTATAGAAAATATAGGGTACTGAAGTTAATCGCCATTTCACGAGCACGCACAAATTTAAGGTTTGACAAGTTGGATATCTATTTACTCGCTGCAACCTCATATTTTATATTTTACAAAAAAATTAGGCAATTTATTGCTTTTTTGTGCCCTAAAATTAACTTACTTATCATTTACTGAAATTTTGCTGTAATAATCATGCGACATAAAAAAATGGAACTACCATTATTTTATTCTATAGGGTATAAGCTTTTAGAAAGTATATAATGTTTGGGTGTTTTATGTAGTCTTCAGGCCTAAAATTATTTTTTAAATGTGTGTAAAAAACGCAAAAAACATCTCTGGCAGCGAAAATGCAAAAATGGCTCTGGCAGCAAAAGGGATAGAGTATAAGCCCTGACCCACCCTTTCCTGACGAGCAGCCAATCGGTGCTCATTACACTGCAAGGTCTCTCTCCCTGCTAGTCCCAGGGTGCAGTGCTGGAGACAGGCAGGGAGGGGAGGAGGAGATAAACAGTGTAATGTTAAAAAATTACACGTTTAAGTTGCCATAAAGCCGCTTTTATTTTTCAAAGCCCCAGACATTCCTAAAATCACCTTCGATTTTAAATACGGTTTTGGTTACATTTTTTTTTTATCTGGACAAGTAGATTGTCATGAGGGACAAGTAGATTGGGGCCCCAATTTAGTGCCTGGACAAGTAGTTTTTTTCAAACATTTCAACATCCCTGATGCATTAGGGCTAAATGTAAAAAAAAAAAAAAAAAAAAAAAAACCACCTGCCTGGCGCATGGAACTGTATGTCCTTGGTGTTGGGCGATATAAATCGTGCATCCCTGCACAGAACAGTTTGCCAAACCTGTAGGATGTCCAATACAGTTCCAGGTGCTCAAATGCAGGAGGCATCTAATAAGGTTGCTATTCGCTCCCATTTTCCAGGCTTATTTTCCCGATATATAAATCATTTAGCTGCTAGCTCCTGTCTCTGCCCGCCACTTGTCAGACATGTGTAGCACAGACCTGAGGAAAAGGGTCAGAGAACTTGGCATTTCTTACTTGTCAGCTCTGCACTCTGTGGTCATGCACTACTACTGACCCCTGCACCCTGTGCACTACACATGTTTGACCCAGAGCAGATGAGGTTTAGGTTTAATTTAGCCATACCCTTTAAGCCCCTCTCACGGGAAGCGCATTTGGCAGCACTCACCATTCGCAGCTGATCACTATGCACATTATTCCTCGTGTTTATTTTGTATTTTTAGTATGTTACTATTAGCAGCTAAAAAGAGTTACTTGTGTGTGGTATGAGACCACACACTAGAAAAAAAAAAAACAAAAAAAAAAAAACATACAAAACAATTTTTTTTTCACTCAAAATTAGTAATAAAGCACATAGCAGTAACCATCATCAAATCTATTTTCTTGCAGCCATGGCTCCTGGACACTAGAAGTAGCATGCAGATTTAAAATGTGGACAGGCACTTAAGAGTACTACTTCAAGTAATACTGAAAAAACATACCTGAACAACATTTCTTTAGGAGAATTTTCTGCCAATTTTACCAGAACTCTGAGAACTTGTTCCCGGACCAGATCTCTTTTAGATGTCAAAATAGAGGATGACAAGAGGAATATAATATTTTTAAATAAAGGGTGCTGATTTTGCTTATCACTTTCCAGCCTTTCATGTCTTGAAGAGCTAAGTTCCAACTCCACACCTGGATTGAAAGATATTTGTGTCCGTTTCTCTTCAATAGTCAGCAGTAAAGTCTCTACTACTTCTAGACTGTGAAATACCAGGTAATAAAGGATTCCAAGGGAGGCCAGGGCAGGTTCACTAAGACAAGCTATTGCATCCTCAACACTGGAAATGATGCTACGGTCTGTGCTGGAGGATGACAAAGACTGATTATCAGATGAACTCGCTCCAGATTTCTCAAGTGGCTGCAAAGCCAGACAGTAGGCAGCAATATGAAACTCCACCAGAGGTAGTAGGAGCACGGCTCCTGGAATTCTGGACAATTTATTGAGACTCTGCATTCCCCTTTTGGTTTGTGTAACTATCTTCTGCTCTGTCAAGTGATCACCCAATGCAATGGAGTTTAGTCCAGTGGTGGCCAATTTCTGTGCATCTTTCAAAGCAAGACACTGAGTGGAGGACAGCGTACTGGAAATAGATTTTCCCGAAGTGCTTAAAAATAAAAAAAATACTAATTATGTACAGGTACAAAAAGTCTGGTAAAGTAAGGTAGAGGATACATAAGTGGTTTTGCCTCCTATAACAGCATTTGCAAGGCTAATTAGTTTCACACAAAACAGATAACCAAGGACTAATCACCTAAATAAGTTTTCCTCCCTAAAATAAGTGAAATAATCTTCTGCGCCTATTGAGTAATATAAAGAGAAACTGCTACTGTGAATGCTGCTGCTATCATCAATTGTGTTCCCACAATGCAACTGAAATAAATGAAATGTGATGTAGCGCTGCTTGCAGAATATTAAATAAACATCAATCCATCATAGTTCAACAAAGTGAATAAACTGGATACAAAGTGCTCATAATGCCTAAATAAATAATAAATTACTATAGGTATCAAATTACTACACAAAGTGAACTGAAATCAAAGTGCTCCAAAAAAATGTTTGTAAAGTTCATATGATTCCAAATGTCCCATAATCCAACATGCATTAATTGGTGTCACTTCTGTGCTCTCAGAACGCTCACCTCCAATGCATGTAAAACCAAGTTTAACCACTAGCCTACAGGGCACTTACACCCCGTTCCAAATTATTATGCAAATTATATTTTACTCCTTTACCTAAATAATTGATGTAAATAACAGTCAGCATAATTCTCATGTTATCAACTATTAAGAGTACAATTCAAATTTTATTGAACAAACCTCCTACTGATAACAGTATTTTTTTTAAACATAAAAAACAAAAAAAAAACAAAACAAAACAAAAAAAAAAAACTTACAAAGCACTGTTCCAAATTATTACGCACAGTAAGTTTCAAAACACTTTATAGGTTGTAAAGAACTGAAAATTGTCATTTGTTGTGTTTGCAGCATATTTACTGAAATCAAAAGCTATTTCAATCAAACTTTTAACATTTTAACTTTTTAAAAATTTTAACAGGTCTTGTTACATTTTAACATAGGACCCCTTATTTGATAGCAGCTTCACAAGTCTTGCATCCGTTGAACTTGTGAGTTTTTGGACAGTTTCTGCTTGAATTTGTTTGCAAGATGTCAGAATAGCCTCCCAGAGCTGCTGTTTGGATGTAAACTGCCTCCCACCCTCATAGATCTTTTGCTTGAGGATGCTCCAAAGGTTCACAATAGGATTGAGGTCAGGGGAGGATGGAGGCCACGCCATGACTCTCTCTCCTTTTATCCCCATAGCAGCCATTGATGCAGAGGTATTCTTTGCAGCATGAGATGGTGCATTGTCATGCATGAAGATGATTTTATTACGGAAAGCATAGTTCTTCCTTCTGTACCAGGGAAGAAAGTGGTCGGTCATAAACTCCACATACTTTGAATAGGTCATCTTTGGGGACCCTAAAGGGGCCGACAAGCACTGTTCCCACGATTCCGGCCCAAAACATGACTCCACCACCACCTTGCTGACGTCGCAGCCTTGTTGGAACAGGGCGGCCGTCCACCAACCATCCATTACTCTATCCATCTGGACCATCCAGGGTTGCACGGCACTCATCAGTGAACAGGACTGTTTGAAAATTAGTCTTCATGTATTTTTCTGCCCAATGCAGCCGTTTCTGCTTGTGAGCATTGGTTAGTGGTGGCCGAATAGAAGGTTTATGCACAGTTGCAAGACTCTGGAGGACTCTACACCTTGATGTCCGTGGGACTCCAGAGGCACTAGCAGCTTCAAATATCTGTTTGCTGCTATGTAATGGTATTTTAGCAGCTGCTCTCTTGATCCGATGAATGGATCTGGCAGAAATCTTCATCAATGTGCCTTTATCTGCAAAAACCCATCTGTGCTCTGAATCAGCCACAAATCTCTTAATAGTGCGATCACGCTTACGTTTTCTTGAAATATCTAATGTTTTCATACCTCGTCCAAGGCATTGAACTATTTCACTCTTTTTGGCAGCAGAGAGATCCTTTTTCTTTCCCATAATGCTTGAAAACGGTTCTCTGCTTAATAATGTGGAACACCCTCCTATAGTAGTTTTTCCTTAAATTGGGCTCACCTGCTAATCTAATTATCACAGGTGTCCAAGATTGTTTTCAGTGATCAAAAGAGCCCTGAGACACAATGCCATCCATGAGTTAAACTGAAAAACAAAAAATTTAATCTTTGTGACACTTTAATAGAATTTGCATAATAATTTGGAACAGGGAGTATACCCCCTTCCTTTCCAGGCCAATTTCCAGCTTTCAGTGCTGTCACACTTTGAATGACAATCGCGCAGTCATGCAACACTGTACCCTTATGAAATTTTTATCATTTTTTTGAGACAGAGCTTTATTATGGTGGTATTTAATCACCTCTGGGTTTTTTATTTTTTCTTAAACCAAAAACCACTGAAAATTAAAAAAAAAAAAGTTTCTTAGTTTTTGTTATAAAATTTTGTAAATAAGTGATTTTCTCTTTCACTGATGTGCACTAATGAGGCTGCACTGATGGACACTGATGGGGAGACACTGGTAGGTGGCACTGAGAGGCATTGACAGGCATCACTGATGGGCACTGAAAGGCAGCACTCATATATGGCACTGATAGGTGGCACTGACTGGCGGAACTGATGCACACTGATAGGCAGCACTGATAGGTGGCACTGACTGGCAGCTCAGATGGGCACTGATATGTGGCATTGATGTGCACTGGTAGGCACTAATATGTGGCATTGATGTGGCACTGATGGACACTGACAGGTGGCACTGCTGGGGCTACACAAATCATCAGGGCACACTGATCATCAGTGCACATGTCCCCTCTGAGGGATGCTAAATACCGACTCTCCTCTGCTCACGAGCTGTCAGCGTGACAGCTCGTGAGGACAGAAATGCCAATAACCGGCATTTTCCTATTTACATGAGATCAGCTGTGATTGGACACAGCTGATCACATGACCGAGCCGACGTCTTCGGCTCTTTCCGTTGATCGGCGCGCTGCATGCTCCTGCATGTGTGGTTAGAATGGGACAACGTCATAGGACGTCCTCCCAGAACGAGAAAACCACCTTGCGCCCGTCATTGTACTATATGGCGGGGGGGAGGTGGTTAAAGCGGAGTTCCACCTGAAAAAAAAAAAAAGTCAGCAGCTACAAAAACTGAAACTGCTGACTTTTAAAATACAGACACTTACCTGTCCCTCAGTCCAGCAGTGTCCTCGCCACCGCTGGTTTCATAGGCCGTCTCCTCTCCCTGGCGCCTGCATCTTCAGTGTGGGCACCCGGCTGTGACAGCTTGCGGCTTCGGCTTCACAGCCAGGTGCCCACTGCGCATGCACGAGAAGCGAAGCGCTTTGTGAATGGCCCCATAGTCTTCTGGGACCTGTCACATGTCCCAGAAGACTACGGGAAGGTGGGGGGGGAGGTGTGTGTGTGTGTATGTGTGTGGGGTACAACTTCTGCTTACGATTGCCTAGGCGATCGCAGGGGAAGTGGGAGCGGGTACCTGTCAAATTTGGGTACCTGCTCTCCCAGGTGCCAATCCTTAATAGGGAGCGGGGGACAAAGGCTTACAGCGGAACTTACCCTTTTGGGTGGAGCTCCGCTTTAATGAGACATCTCTACAATTGAACACTATCTTCTTTGGCCACTAGAGGCTATCCACTCCTCCTTCCATATGGTAAATGTTAAGGTAGCCTTACGGATCCACCGTTTCACTGGGTAACAGTAGCCTCACCCAAAATAGAATACGCCTCATATAATGTACTAGGTTAACTTCCCATATTTATTAAATTTTGCACTTAAGCAACAAAGGTGTGCTGGCGATGTAAGGAGGAAGACGATTCGTACATACATATATTTTGGTCTTGTAGGAAATTGACCACTTTTTGGTTACAAATTAGAGATCTTATTAAACGCTTGACAGAATTTGATCTGGGGGACGACCCTGCTGGGTATGCACTGCTGCACTCTGACCTCTCCAGGAAACATTTTAAAAACACTATACTGGTGCACCTTCTCAATGCTGCTCATGCTTGTATACCATCTCTCTGGAAAGAAGGCTCCCCCTTCTGCCTCCATGTGGCTGTCCAGGATTGAGGACATACACTCAATGGAAAATATTATGGCAGCAGTTCATGGCCAGGAGGATAAGTTTTGTCAGCGATGGGTCCATTGGTCTCTCTTTGCCTGTTGCAGTGAATACGAATCCTTGTTACACTAGGTGGTTTTAAGTCCCTTCTCTATTCATGCTTTGCTATCTGCTGTTTCTTTATTCTTTTCTCCTCTTTTTATTTTTATATTCTATGACTTGGATGCTGACATCGTATGTTTAGTTCTGCAGGCTATTCAAGCTGTAATGACTCTCGACCCAGTGTATGACACAATGCTGTTTTGATGTGGCAATTGGTTTCTTATGTATCTTAACTGAACCTGGTTTGAAAGTCTAATTCCAGTGGCATCCGCCTAATTGTCTCATTGCTTCCTGTACTACTTATAAATGTTTCATATAAATAAAGTATGTTCAAAAAAAAAAAAATTGCACTTACATTCAAAATAAGAGAGATGTGCTTTACAGATAGGAAATTGCGGTTTGTACTTCCTTTATCTGCCTCCGCTTACGTGCAGGTGACGCAACACGTTTGGCGTAAGTGGTGGAAGATTTAGCAAGTACAAGCCGCAATCTCTTATCTGTAAAGCGAATCTTTTGTTTTGAATGTAAGTGCAATTTTAATAAATATTGGAAGTTTTATTAATCTACTACACTATGAGGCATATTCTCTTTTGGGTGAGGCTACTGTCACCAATTAATGCATGGAATTCACATTATGCACGGATTCTTATTCTATGTTGTTGGATTACATTACATTTGGAATCATATGAACTTTACACACATTTTTTGGAGCACTTTGATACAGTTCACTTTGATTGTGTAGTAATTGATGATACTTATATTAATGTATTATAATATATTCAGGCATTATGAGAACTTTGTATGCAGTTTATTCACTTTGTTCAACTATGATGGATTGATGTTTATTCAATATTCTGCAAGCAGCGCTATATCACATTTTATTTTAAGGTTTCCTCCATCCTCCCCTTAAAAGGCACTTGCTGTCATGGTTGATCTCCTGAAAATGCTAATTTCTTGGCCTTAGCTTCAATGATTTCTGAGTTACACCTGCAAAACAAATGTTCAGCAACTGAAGACTGAACTTCTGTTGCGCATACTTACTCTGCATTGATGACTCCATTGAAGTCAGAGCCTCATTAAAGGCAAAGTTAATTTTTAAAATAAATACATAAATAAAGGCACATCTTTTTTGCAGGTATAAAAAATGTGCATTTATTATTTATTTATTTTCACTTGAAGCCTGCAAAGCATTGCCCCTGTGATCAGCATATTGCGGTGCCATGCAGGACTCCTGCAGACTTGTCAGTGTATCTGTCTGCTCATATCTCATACGGGCAGGCAGATACACGGCGACAGGAAGAGAGAATGAACTACCACAGTTCTCCTCAGCACCGTGGCAGTTTATTGAGAAAGCCAAAATGGCTGTCGGTACTTTTAGTTTCCCATTCACAGAACTCGGTGAATGATTTTTTTTTTTTTTTTAAAGCAGGAGGGAGAAAATCCCCCACTTCCTGTCACTAGAAGAGCAGGCGGCTGCAAGAGTGGGAACATGTTCCATTCGTTTTTAGGGTGGAACATGTAACATGTACCCAAAGGTAAACTTATCCTTTAAGATGTCCACAGAAATTAGCATTTTCAAAATGAGATCAGCAACACAAACCTGTATGTTCGTAAGACAGGATTAATTTAAAGCCTAACTCCATGTTTAAGTGACCAACATGGTCCAAACAAACTATTTAATTCACTAACTCATGCAGCCACTGTCAGCACTGCATGAACTGTATGCAGCCTCCGGTACATACAGTGTACCTTGCTGTGTTCTGACAGAGGTCTTATCTTGATCCTGGAAGAAAACTGCATCAGACTGAGCGCTGCTTAACCATTCACAGGAAGCTTCGTATTTTTTGAATGAATACAATACTTCTTCTGTGATGTCATCCTCCTCAGCCAATTAGAGTATACCTTGTATTAATTTATAAAAATACAAATCTCACTGTGAATGACTGAGCATTCTGGGAGCAGGATGGGAAGTACCCATTTCCGCGTCTGGAATGCGGCTCTGTGAACTGTATGTACTTGAGGCTACTAAGAGCACTGACAGTTTCTGCATTCGTTACTGAAGAAAACTGTTTGTGCTATGCAGGCCATACAGAAGTTGAATTCCAAATGAATTTTCTTTAGAAAATTGGAAATTTTGTGCATTTTGTAATTGATTTTGAAATTCGACCAACCAAGCCTTTAATTTCACTTCATATTGCTACAGAAAAGAATTTTCGTGTCCAAGAAATTTTTTTTTCTTTCCAGGTCACAGCTCATGCTCATTTCTTTTTCAATTACATTTCACTCACAATTCTCTCCCATCATCCATTGAAATTTTTTGAAAAACGAACACATTTCTAACATGCCAATCACTCAAATTCGAAGGTCGCTCAAAAATCGGCCATTGCTGTGGCCCACTAACGGTGCAAAATTCAACCAAAAATTCTTAGAAAAGATTTTCGAAAGAAAATTCTTTCGGAATTTGACCCATGTATGGCCGGCATTAGTGAAGAAAATAGTTTGGTCCAAACAAACTATTTAAAAGTTTACTGAAACATTGAGTTAGGCTTTAAGCAGATTGAAAACACTGTTTACAGATGTTTCTGATCTCTGTTAACAGCCACAGAAGTCCTTCAAATTATTTTTGTTATACCAATCTTCAAGCAAAAGGTTCTTGTTTTGGTGTAAGGTTAATTCATCCAGTTATACTAGTGTTTAACAGAGTATTCTCAGTAGTGTAAAAATTCATAGTGGGCCAATTTTCAGCACCCTCCTGTAAAAGAAAACTGAAGAGGCTAGTGGCATGAAGAAAAAGATGCATGTTGTCACCTGACTGCTTAACCAATAAACATAAGTGATGTTAAGAAATGTTACAAGACAAAAAAAAAAAAGAAAAAAGAAAAAAGGTGAACACCCTTACACCCAACTGACCAATCCAACTGCACTTACCTTCGTGGGTGATTAGCTGCCAGTTCCCACACAGCCAGTGTAGCGGTCCGGTGATTTCAAACACAAACTCTTCTTCCCCTTCTTTCTGTAGGGCTTCTGGGATGGATCAGAGTGATTCTGATGGTCAGAGCCGATATGTGACCATCTGACCAATCAGAATTGCTCAGATCCATCCTGGATGCCCTACAGAAACCCCACTGTTATTAGAATTCAATTATCCAATTAGTACAATCTACTCACTTGCTTGTATGGCCTCTCCGCACAGGTGATCCTTGGAGAACATCTAATTTACTACTAAGAAGATGGCACAAACCAAATGGACCTCCAGGATGTGACTGATGCATCAAACTATTTAGTAAAATTGAACCTAATGAGGTGGTAAAAAACAAATGAGTATATTCTAGCAAAAGTATGGAAAAAACAAATCATACATATGAACAGAGTTGCTTTCAATAATTAAAAGGTAGGCAGAAATATGACACAAACTAATACATTAATACTGTTATCATTAATACATCAGTAAATGTATTTTAAAATAAAATTTTTAGTTTTAAACGTTAACATGGGAGTCTGGGCAATTTGCCAGTTACAGAAGATAGTTAGGAAGGAAGAGAAGAGTTCACAGGAAGCAACAAGGCTTTTCTGACAAGATCATAGGGCATCTTCTGTATTTATAGAATGATGAAAATGTTCTTAAAAAAACCCTTTGTCTTGGGTGGGAGTCTGGTACAAATGAAGGGAATCCTGGCCTCTTTTACATAGTTAATCTTGTCGAAAACAGACACAAGTCCATCCAGTTCAACAAATTGGAAAAAAAAACCCCACGCAAATAGAATA